TGGAATGTAGACCATTGACAGCGAACTTCTGCCCTCCGGGGGTTCCTCCATTTGTGCTGTAAGCCTGTACGTATTTAAGGTTTCTCCCCTCTTTCAATAAACGGCATTCGACATCCAAACGTACGAATGACTCGCTGTCTTTTGTCTCTATTTTTTAATCCACAGCCCTTCGCTCAGACGTGGTGAACGGTTAGCAGTGACGCGGGCGTTACCGCTACAGCAGGCCTCTTGCTAGCTAGCTCTTTCATCTTTAATTAACCCATTTCTATTAATCTATGTTTTGCCATGTCTTTAACAGTCTGCTGGCATGTTGCTCCTTGGGTAGCAGGCTGGCTTCCCCCGGACATCATCTTTCTCTTTCATGTCTCCCTCCTTGGATTTTCCACATGCTTCTAAGCTGCCTTGCCATAGGCCAAAGCAGCTTAATTATTAACCAATGGGAAGAACAGATATTCACAGTTTACAGAAAGACATCCCCCAACACCATACTGTTACCACCATATAGCAGGAAGTTTGGTCTCAGCTCCTACTGAGCACAAAGTAGATAGGGCCAAGTTTCCTATCCCATGTCTCTTCTTCAGGCTCCTTCTTGGACTTAGATGACCACATAGCTGTAGATGTAATTCTAAACAGTCTTATTAAATAAGAAACACAGAGCCAAATGCAGAGTTAAAAGCCCAGAGATGAGAGAGCAATAGCCAAAAGCTAAGACCACCTTTTTACCACTCACTGCCGTCCTTCCTCTGAGAAAGAGACCTACTTCCTGTGTGTCTGTATTTTTATTGCCTTTCTGTACTGCCTTCTCATTGGCTCTAAACCCAACCACATGACTTTCTCAGCACTGCCTGTCTATACAGACCTTGAAGTCTCTATGGTAGGTATTTGGATTAAAGGTGTATCACCATGCTGGCTGTGTCCTTGAACACACAGACTCAGCCTGCCATGTGATCGGATTAAGGGCATGTGCTACCACTGCCAGACTTCGGCTTCATGGCTATGACCTCTGATATCCAGGCAACTTTATTAACATACAAAAAAACTCACATTTCAGCACAAACAAAATATCACCATACACAGCCTGCAGATCATCCTTTCCATTCCCTTCCTTTCTAAAAACCTATTATAATCTCCAATACAAGATTCTATGTAAATAACCTTCCTTTTCCCTACTGCCCCATACTCCAACCAAGCTAGCTAACCTAGAACCATGCTGCTGAAGCAAATTCTGTCATTCAAACGCAGTGTGTACTAGGCAGCAGGTCTAAATCTTTACTATATTACAGTGCTGTGTTTTCAGAGAGTGGGACTCCTGTCAAACAGATGTGCTCCTGGGTCCCTTGTCATCCAGCCCCATGAGACTCTCTGCCCACCTCTCCAGTCTCACTCCTTTCCACCCTCCCCCCTCTCTTGATGGCAGACAGACAAAATCTTTAGTCCTAGGGACAGAACTTCCTCTCTGAATACTCCAGCTTCCTCCTGTCCAGGGGCCTCTGTATTTGGTAGATTTCTTTTAGGAAACATTCCCTTGGCTACACATGCCTTTGGTTTCATCTCTAATATCACTCTTTCCTAGGGACGGTCCTGAGAATGGGCTAAAGCTGTTCCCTCTGACACAGAGATTCCCTGCAGCACTGTCACTCAGCAGACCATTCTAGCAGCCATATCTACAGGCTATGATTTGTTCCCAGTGGGGAGACTAGATTCTAAGGTCTCTGCTCATCCCTCATGCCAGTTTCCTAGTCCCAAATGTCATGATTGGGAAGCCAAGTGCTGTCAGGACATCATCTTCTCGGAGTGAATCAGCAGATTGATGGACCAGAATTGATGTCCTTTTCCATCTATTCCCACCTGTCCTGCAGCTTTTCAGGAACTAGGCTTCAGAAATGGACCCTAGCCCCAGCCCTGGGAAGGGCACTTGGCACCTGCTTAAATTGTGGTAAACACTAACCAAATTTCCAATGTCCTATGAGCCTACACATTGTAAGGTGGAGATGTCTGGTCAAAATGAACTAGTGAACTTGAAAAAAATAGCAAGGCAGTTTTGGAAGTGAAGAAACAACAGTTTTTATTAGTGAAAGTGCACACAGCTGAAGTCAGACAACTACTCAATATCTCATCTTCATTTCTCTCAAAATTATGCATACAGCTCTCAGAGAAGGACTGGTTCTGTTGTTTCATAAGATGTACATAGTTTCACAAAGTTTAAATGATTATCCAGAATGGATGAAGGTGCCACAGTTCTTTGGGATGCAAAGGCACAAGATGTTTGTGAGATTGAAGCCAGCCTCCTGTATATAGATATGGAGTTCTGGCCAAGCTGGGGCTACACAATGAGACACTATTCTAAAAATTAAAAAATAAAAAAATAGTATAATTGTTAATTATTGTAATGTGCTATTCCACAGCAGATTATGGGTAACACAATCAATATTATCTTCAAAGTTCAAGATTAAAAGAAAATTCAAGCTGGGCGGTATTGTTGCACGCCTTTAATCCCAGCACTTGGGAGGCAGGTGGATCTCTGTGAGTTAGAGGCCAGCCTGGGCTACAGAGTGAGTTCAAGGAAAGGCACTAAGCTACACAGAGAAACCATGTCTCGAAAAAGAGGGAAAGAAAGAAAGAAAGAAAGGAAGAAAGAAAGAAAGAAAGAAAGAAAGAAAGAAAGAAAGAAAGAAAGAAAGAAAGAAAGAAAGAAAGAAAATTCAAGGCTGGGTAGTGGTGGTACATGCCTTTAATCCTAGCACTTGGGAGGCAGAGGCAGGGCAGATCTGTGAGTTTGAGGCAAGCCTGGTCTATAGACCAAGTTCCAGGACAGGCTCCAAAGCTACATAGAGAAACCCTTTCTCGAAAAACCAAAAAAA